GGCGGCTCCAGGAGCTCCCAACTGGGACAATGGCGGGAGGGAACTCTGTATTTATTGTTTCATCATGTCCAAACACTGCCATGTATTTCACATTCACTATCAGTAGTCATTACACGACACACACACACACACACACACACACACACTTCATAGATGAGGAAAATGAAACCCAGGAGGTTAAGCAACTTGCCCAAGACACACAGCTAATAAATGGCAGAGGCTCATGACTCCAAAACGAGAGTTCTTCCAACTATACCAATCTCCGTGCACCCCAGGTCCGTAGACAACTTGGGCGCTCTCCTCCGAGACCACCCTACTCAGCCGAACTGGTTTTCCCTTTGAGAAGTCTTCTGCAAAGAGGGACAGACAGGGGAATCCCACAAGGCCTTTCTTAGAACCAGGAATTTGTGCTGAGTCACTTGGGGATGAATTCAGAGGAGATGGGAGGAAAGAGGCATCCTTAGGTCAAGAGCGGTGAAATCACTCCCTGCTACTCTTTCTTGGTGACTCTGAGGTTGGAGAAGAAGCCGGACGCAGAGCTTACTTTCAAAACCAGAGGCCAGGGCGGGGTCCAAGGCATGCTGGGTCCTGCTCTCTCCCTTCAGGATCCTTCTATGTCAGCGATGGACCCAAGGCCACACCAGCTTTCCTTTTAATGCTCAAATGCTTAAGCTTTTCCGGCCTTGCATATGTTACATATGGCGTTTCCTTTGCCTGGAATACTTACTCCCCAAGTCCTTGTCTCTGAGAATCAGATTAAATGCCATTTCCTCAGTTTGGCCTTCCCTGCCCACTCCACTTGCCCCTTCCCGTCCCTAATCTGAATTATGCCCCCAGTACTTTCTCCCACAGTTTCCTGTTCTTTCCCTCACTCTGCAGTGGGGCAATTATTGTACCAATGCAGGTCCTCCACCAGACTGAGGGCTCCTTAATGGCGGGAGTCCTGCTGTTTTGTTTATTAATGTGTGCCCACCCCTTGCACACAGCAGATACACAGAAAGCGTTTGTGAAATGTACGTAGGAGCCAAGATGGGGTCCTAAGACAGTGACCCTATTTGTGATAGAAGGGAATTCATGAAAAAAGCTGTTTATAATTGTTTTCCTTTGTAATTCTACATGCCTTTTTTAAAGGCACTTAAAGTCTGTTTTAAAAACAAAACAAAACAGGATTGTGATAAGGGGTCTACAGGCTTCAGCAAATTACCAAAAGGATCCATGGCACAATGGATGTGAGAAACCCGAGGAGGTAGAACCACAGCAGGTGATTCCTTTAAGCTGTAACTCCAAAACCTCCATTGAAGTAACCCCAAAATCACATTAATGTAACCCCAAGCCTCCACTGACTGGGGGCATCCCTGCGCTAAGGCCTGACTGATTCTGGGAAGCAGCGAGCTGCCAGGGCCAAAGGACACGGTAGAGAAAACCACTTCCATCAGCAGTGACTGCAACTGAAACCCCAGTGGGGGTTCCGCTCCCCAAATCAGCACCACATCGAGCACAGCTGGGCAGACATGCAGGGGTTGCTAAGAATAAAGTAAAATAGGGAAGGAGCTGGAACCGGCAGGATCCCTAATTCTGGGTTTCTGACAGGCCCTCCCTAAAGGCTCTGCCTATGGGAAACACTTCCTTAATGAGAGGGCTGTGGTCCTTCGGCGTGCCCCTTACCTTCTCATAATATTGGATGTTCTTGTCAGCCATTCCCATGAGCAGCTGCCGGAAGTCCTGCCTCTTGTTGTTCTGCCACCTCTCCATGTCGGCTTTCAGGTCAGCATTGAAGCACTCCATCCGATCCTGACATTTCTCAACGTCCGCGGGCACCTGAAGGGTGATGCAGAAGTGGGTGTAACTGGTCTCTCATGCCCCAAATTGCTCTCCTCACACAGTTGTGAAGGGCCAAATCACTACATGAAAATGCCATAAACCAGGGGTGGGCAAACTTTTTGACTCGAGGGTCACAATGGGTTCTTAAACTGGACCGGAGGGCCGGAACAAAAGCATGGATGGAGTGTTTGTGTGAACTAATATAAATTCAAAGTAAACATCATTACATAAAAGGGTACGGTCTTTTTTTTTTTTTATTTTTAGTTTTATTCATTTCAAACGGGCTGGATCCGGCGCAGGCCGTAGTTTGCCCACGGCTGCCATAAACCCACTCTCTCCTCTGGAGGTGTTTGCCTGAAGGCAGAGTCCATTGTTTTCAAATATAAGAAGGAACTCTGAAAGACCATCCTGACCCAAATCTTCAAACCCATCCAAGCTTAAGGGACTTGTGGGAAACACCCACCCCATTTATAAACAGAAAGAAGAAACATTGTAAGCAGAGTCATATATCTTTGGTTCCTGTTTTTAAAATGTAAAAATGTGTGTAGATTTTGCAAATAGCCAGCAGGATTTGGTATTGCCCAATGAGTTTCTCATGTTCCAATAATGAAACTAGAAAAGGTTCTTCCATGTCAAGTGAACTATTCCATTAGTTCTGATGCTTGACAATGTCTATCCTCATTAATCAGAGAATTAATTGCAATAATACGACTGTTGGCCAGCTCCCTCTTCTGAACCCCACATTACATATAATCTGGAGACGTATCTATGCTCCCCAAGATAGCAGATCACCAAAAAAAGAAAAGTTAAAGTTAGGCAATTCTGGGGAAGTAAGAGAAAAATTATGTCTGCATGTCAAACGAATATGAAATACAAATTCAAGTTTTTCCTTAAAGAAGACCTTCTCAAAATGGAACAAAGTCTGAATTCCACAACTTCCATTTTGCTTTGGTGAATTTTATCCATCCTACACATCTAGACAGAGAACCCAATATTATGAAAAGGTAACAGGAAATTATTACCCTGGTTGCCAAAGCACAAAGCTAGATTCTCTCCTAACTCAAGAGCTCCACTGGGCCCTGATGGTGGCTAGGGGTTCAAGGTGCCCAAAGCTGGGTCAACGCCCACCTGCCAAAAGCTTCCGAACAACAAATAAGGCCTTGTATACATTTTGTGTGCCGGCTCCTGTGAACCCCAAAGTCTCCAAGCTGTGGGTCATCTTCAGGGTCACTCTTTACCAACCAAGGAATTTTTATACTCAGGTCTTATGAGCAAGGAGCCAACCCAGAAACAGCAATAATGGTGAGGCCAAGCCTGAGGGAGCTGGACACCTTCAGAGCTTCTAAAAGTGCCGAGGGCATTAGCCATCTGCCACCCAGACCACTTGGAGATGGCTGCAGGAGCAAGGAAAGGAAAGCAGCCTCGGTGAAGGGATTTGAGAGTGCGTGGCATGGAAACTAAACCTGGGTGAGACAAGGATGAGTCGGAGAGAAAGAGACAGCAGGGCAACCTAGGCAACTTGAAAGGAAAGAACTTTTCAGAGGGGGAAAGGAGCCTTCCTCAAAGCACTGAAGCTTCTGGAATTACAAACAAACTTGACTTTTTCTTCTGGTGCCATGCCTGAGGTCACTCACCCTTGCCTTTCCCTGCTGACTCACCCATTACTGTTGGCCACCTCGGGGGGGGGAAACTGAAACAAGAGTACCCTGGCTTTGCTGCACTGGAGCCATTCCCCCATAAACGTCCAGTCAACCAGCCCCATGGACACCCAGGGAGCCGGGGTCTGTGGCCAGGCCTCAGCTCCCTGCAGGCGCAGTCCAGTTCCCTTATTCCTCTCGTGGGCACTGCTCATTTTAGCATGTGGGTGAGTGAGTGCATGGGAACAACTTCCTGTTTGCTTAGCAAAACTACTTCAGCAAAGAGGAAAAGTAAAGCTCTGAAAAGAGAACCTCATAGGGGGGGCACAGGGAGAAGAGGATGGCTCAGCTCTCTGACTGAGAGGAGTTCCTGCACAGGAAAGGGGAGCTGCTCATGGGGGTGGAAGCTCTGGTTGACCCACAAAAAATCAAAAGTCAGGACTGCAGCTCTGGAGTTTACGATCGTCCCAGCCTGGCTTTGGAAAATATTTTTAGCTCATCATTCTCACAACATACTCCCCAGTTGGCAGTGAGGAATATGAAAGTGCTTAGGTCTCTACAGGCAAACTTGTTTCAAGTTGCCTACAATCCACCTGGGATTGCACTGCACTCCACTCTTCAGAGAAGTGTGACAATTGGGGAGAGGGCACTCTAGAGTGACAGTACGTGCAAATGACAGAAGTGAGACAGTACCTAGACCTACCTTGGAACAGCTCACGGGCCACAGTGCCCACAAAGGCACAGAGAGAGAACTCCAGCTGGTGAGATTGGTGGGGGAGGGGCATAAGCCTGGGGCTCTTCCTGAAGGCCAGGTTTTCTGGGGTCCATTTCCCTCATGCCCCTTTTTTTGAAAATAGAAAGCCTTGTGCTTCCTCTAACTGTATAGACAGTTATGGGGCCAGATTTCCAGAGTTTGAATACGACATCTACCACTTGCTAGACGGGTAACTTCGGGCTTCTCTATGCCTCAACTTCTTTTTCTGGATAATACTCTCCACCTTACAAGGTTGTTATGAGGTTAAATGAGATAGAATGTATAAAACGCTTGGTGCCTGGTATATATTAAACACCCAATAAATATTTGCTCATTCTGGTCAGTATCAACGTTATAAATCAAAGTTCATAAAAGACAATCTCTCATTTACATAGTTCCTTAGGTCAGAATATTTTTTTGAGCTTTATTCCATGTCTTATAAAAAATGTACTTTTTTGTTTTCCAAATATAACCTATTATAATATAATCAAATATAGTCTTTCAAACTTCATGTAACTCTTCACCCTTGCTACCCCAATCAAGATTTCTCCAGAGATTGGAGATGAGTCAACACCAAACTCTACTGTCATAGATAATCCTTGGCACCCTGGAACCGGGGCAGTGGCTTCAACTCCAGGAGGGAGGGGATTTAGACCAACCTGGTGCAGACAGAACTGACCGACTGGGCAGCCAACTGCACGTGAGATATAAGATATGGAAAGTCAGAGAAGTTTCTTTCTAGTCGGGTGACTAGGGTAGCAATAGTCCACTGTAGGGCTCAGGATAAAGGACAGGACCACAGACCAGATAAAGGCGGTAGCTGCAGCCACGGGAAGAGTGAGACCTGCGCTCCACAAGAAGGGGCTGAAATAACAACAATAAATACCTGATTTTAAAAAGAGCAAAGGGAAAAAAAAAGAGCAAAGGACTTGAATAGACATTTCTCCAAAGAAGACACACAAATGGCTAACAAGCACATGAACTGATGTTTCACATCACTAATCATTAGGGAAATGCACATCAAAACCACAATGAGATCACTTCACACCCATTAGGATGCTTATTATTTAACACACACACACACACACACACAGAAAATAAAAAGTGTTGTCGAGAATGTAGAGAGATTGGAAACTTTGGGCACTGTTAGTGGGGATGAAGAATGGCACAATCATGGAAAACAGTGTGATAGTTCCTCAACAACAAAAAATAATTATAATATGATACAACAATTCTACTTATGGGTATATACCCCCCCAAAAAAACTGAAAGCAGGGTCTCCAAGATATATTGAACACCCACGTTCACAGCAACATTATTCACAATAGCCAAAAGGTGGAAGCATCTCAAGTGCCCACCCACAGATGAGTGAATAAGCAAAATGCGGTATGTACAAACAGTGGGATATTATTCAGCCTTAAGAAGGAAGGACATTTTGTTATCCTCACTGGAGAATATGTTTATTGATTTTAGAGAGAGAGGAAGGGTGAGAGAAAAAAACATGGATGTCAGAGAGGAACACCAATGGTTGCCTCCCATACACACCCCAACCGCAAGCTAGGTGTATGCCCTGACTGGGAATTGAACCAGCAATCTTTTGGTGTACAGGATGATACTCCAACCAACTTGGCCACCAGGCCAGGGAAAGGAAGAAAATTTTGACACATGCTACAACATGATTGAACCTTAAGGACATTATGTTATGTGAAATAAGCCAATCACAAAAGAACAAATACTGTCTGATTTATATGAGGTACCTAGAGTAGTCTAATTCATAGGGACAGAGTGTAGAATGGTGGTTTTCAGGGACCGGTGGGAGGGGGGATATGCAGAGTTGTTGTTTAGTGGGGGAAAGAATTTCAGTTCTGGAAGATGACAAGAGTTCTAGAGATTGGTTACACAACAATGTGAATTTACTTAACACATTTGAACTGTGCACTTACAAATGGTTAAGATGATAAATCTTGTTATTTTTTGCCATGATTTAAAATTTTTAATATATGAGGGAATAGAAGAGGAGGCTGAGGAAGGGAGGGTCGATGGGTAGAACTCATGGAGAAGCCTACATTTATAGGGCTAATAAAGGAAGCAGCAAAGGTCACTAGAAAAGCTGGGCACAGAAGCAGGAAGTGAGTCAGAGAGAACAGAGCCCTAAAAACACAGGGATGGATAGAGGGGTTAGATGAGGGGGAAGAGAAGGGTTTAAAGAGAAGAGAATACGAGGAATTGGGGCGAGCTGCCTGAAATGACTAGCGACTGAAGTTGTCCAACTTTATCAAGAGGAGGGCCGTTGGCATCAGACTCTCAAGATCACATTCTTCTCCCTTTTGTTTCTTTTAGGACAGTGTTTTTGTGACAATCAGTTCACTGACCAGAAACATCCAGCATTCTTTTTTATTGCAATGTTTTAATTTTCTGACTGAGGTATTGTTAGCTGTGCTATCTTGTGTCTGAAGGATGCTGAGATGGCAATATCCAATGCTAATGGTTGGGTGCTGCTTATCACAAGCCACCAAGAAAAAAAAAAATCACCAGATTAGACCTCATACGGCAAGAAAAACAGAGAACAAGACTGCATTTTTCTTACCGGGTTCCTAATCTCTCAT